AAACGGGGTAGATCAGAGAGGGTGATTTGAACGCCATCTTCATCGAAGTTCTTGGGCGCGGGGATGCTGCCTTCTGTCATGGAAAGGTAGTCGTAGAATTCCATTGCGCTGGGGTCGTCGGCGGTGGGCATCTCGCTACTGACCACCAGAGGTAGGTTGAGTGGATGTTCGATGTAGCGAGCGTACTCTTCTTCTTCGCTGTAGGATACCGATGGATTCATGCTGTTCTCGTAGAACTGGGTTAATGTCCACTGGTGAACGAGCGCTTTGTTAGCGGGCTTGAAACCGGGTTTGAGCGTGGACGAGAGGCCAGTTGAGGTGGACATGGAATTGGCCAACGATTGGTATGCCGACGGCGGTGGTGCTGGCGGGTGGGTTTCGAAGTGCGATTCGCGAAGGATGGAATGTCGGACTGATGACTCTGCGTAGGTAGCGCTCAGGTGCAGATCCCTCCTCCGATTGCCTGGAGTATGATCGGGCTTGGACTCAGTCTCGCTTGAAGGGTCAATGATGGTCACACCTTTCCGAGGAGCCTTCTTTCCATCCCTTCCTTGTGCGTCATGATCCTGTTGCTTCGTACGGGGGACGAACGGAGACATGTTCTCCTTACGAGATGGATACGTTCCATCCCTAAGACCTGGTCGCGGCTTGGCTAAACGGAAGGCAAAGATTTTGAGATATGACGAGATAGCCAATGGTCGATAGTATTCAAGCCAGTAATCATCACGGAAGCTGATGAAGTCGAATGCTGATTCCTCACTTGGTAGAGCTGGCATGACTGAAGGTGGTAGTGTGCGTTGTTGAAGATGCGAATGTGTGTACCACTGGATATAGTCTCGTCTTGTGCGCTCGAGGAAGTTTTGTGGGTTTTCGTGGTGGAGGAAGTAGTCTGTTGATAGATCCCATAGCATTGGCTGGCCCTGGCGGTAAACGTAGTTACCCAGAAACAGATTGTATGCTTCTTGGCGCTGTGAGTCGAGGAAGGAGTTGTGGTAATAGCGCTTGAAGCTCTCAACCATATCGCGAGAACTACTTTGCCACTGGTTGATCTTTCGGTAGGTAGCCATCGTGTTGACGAGATGGGAGCCACCGTACTGGATGGCGATAGTATCACCGTGACCGTGGAACATTTGCGTAAACAGTTCGACGCAGTCCGAGTCGTACTCGACAGTGTTGCCGGATATGACACCAAGCGCTTGCAATTGTCGACCTAGTGCTCGTTTTCCAATGACGAACTGGGCAGCGTTGGTTCTGTCTAGGCAGTCGATGCAATTCGTTCGCGCGACTCCGTTTTGAACTTGAGGCGCATCATACTCATTGTCGCCGTTGCGAAAGAACCCTGTCTTACGCAAGACTTTTTCAGCCAGGTTCTCCAAGGTGCCGATAACATCTTGCCCTCTAGTCTTGGCTGCTCTTGACATGTCGAAAGCCTCATATATTATCCTCTTGTCATTTGGTAGCGACTGGTTGAGGTAGTCGATAGCGTGCTTGTATTCGTAAAGCAGTTTCGACTCTCTCGGAGTCCGTTCACGCGCTTTGATGAGGTTGAGAACGTAGATTGGGGCACCGTAGCGCTCAAACAAGTTATCGAAATGCAGTCCTGCTGCGCTGTAGAAGGGATCCACGAGGTTCAAATCGATATCTGGCTTTGGTGTCACACCTGTGTTGTCTTGCGTCCAGTATAATGGTATGCTACCGCGGTGCTGGACGTAGGATGTGTAAGAGGGATTCGCATAGAGGCGTGGTCCAGGAGCATGGAAGGAAGTCGTAGTCTGCTCGGACACAATTTGCTCTGTCTCGACGTCATTGGCGACATATCCAAGGTCGTTCGTTCCACGCTTGAGGAAACGAGCACCGGCAAAATGTCTTGATCGTCGGGCAATGATGGTAAGGTATACTCGTCGCCCAAAGACATCCAGCGAAGATTGATCAACGTATCCATGTATGACTGGGTGACACCAGTCGTAGACGTTCTTCAGTGCGTCTCGCGCAGGGTTCAGGAGATGATGGTTCCAGACAAACATATCTTGAAAATCGCGTTCAGGGTTGGAAATACCTTCACTAAGTGCAGTCCGCTGGTGAATGATGTTCTGTTGCAGGCTCCTCGTAACGTTGTAAGAATAGCTAAAGTAGAATGATCGTGTGAGGTCCATATTGTTGAGAATGGACAAGAATCTCGCTTCTTCCGGATTGCGGTCTTTCTGGTACCTTGATGTTGATCCAGTCGTCAATGGCACCATGTCCGTGCCATCGACCTGATAAATGTAGTGACCGCCCAACATGGCGACTTGCGATCTTTTGGATATCAATAACATGTAGTACGCCTCCGTGAACCGGATGAAGCCCAACAGGCCCCATGTGCTGCACTTTAACTTCATCCCTCCTGTAGCCTTGTTGCCGTCAGCTATCGTATCGAGCAACTGATGCATTTCTCGCCGATTATACACTATATCGTCTTCAAAGATGTTCAAATGTCCAGGTGCAGCGGTGCGATCAATCTTCAGCACGCGAAACTGCCTGTCGGTGATGTCGGCACCAATGAGATAGAAGCGGGTACTGGTTTCGTAGAGCGAGAACTTGTGCATTCTCTTAATCCCGCTCTCTCCGACATTCTGGTAGGTCGAGCCCTTGACTTTATGGACCGTAGATGGAGTGGAAGGTCTGTGGAACGATACATTGACGTTGGGATTTTCTTCTTCACCGCCAAATTTGGTGGACTCCGACTCTCTTCGTGGCTTTCCATGACCAGGTAATTTGTCGAGATCGGCTTCGGGTTTGAACTCAAGCGGAGAGGTCTGGGGGCTACCGACTGCAGTCGACGCCTTCTCGATGTCATCCAGCTGCTCCTGACTGCTAGTGCGCGATGCTGTAGGCCTGGACGCGACAGAGCTGGATCGTTCTGGGGAACTTAGTCTCGACTTTGACTTCTCCATTATGCGCGATTAGTGACTGGGATAGAAGCTGTCAACGAGTGTGATAAGGCAAGACTTGTCAAGCGGTCACGGCGTGGTTTGTCGGTCGTGTAGTGGCGCATGCGGACGGCACGAGACAGGAGCTGGCTCAACCCAAGTGCTTCCTTTTGCACACCCTTCAAGCTCTGACGGTGCAAGGAAGACTATGCACGGAAAGATGCGTAGTTCTGGAAGGACCGTGTTTTAAGCCGAAAGGGTAAGGCCGCTGTAGCTTCCGGCGGGTCCACGTGCACCTGGCCACGCTTGCTTGGGCATGATCAGGCTTGGCGTACGTCAGCGCCCTATCGCGACCCAGGAGTGCTGAACGACCTGGAGCACAACAATCCCGACATACAGACACATAGATGAGAGAGCAGTGTGAATCTCTACAACGGTCACATAGAGCGCAATATTCGTCAAGTGCCCTGCTTGGTCTCCATGACAACAGATGCGGATGGACTTGCATTGCGCTTGTGGTAGTCTGGGGCAGTCGACCATCGAACAGAACAACCAACAGTTGAAATTATCTGGTAGCATAACGTGTATCTCTCCCGGTGCCGTTCGAAATGGTAAGCGTCAAACGGCATGCACCAGTTGCATACTTATCAGAAGCCATGTGCCTCTTGCGGGTCATGGCTGCACTTTATTATCCCTCCAAAATCAAATTACCACTGAGTGCCCTCATTACCGAAGACATGGCGAGCGACAGATCCTACATCTTCGTTATCATCGGAGCCATGTTATCAGTCTCGGCTATAGTTATCAGCATCGTCTGTGTTATTATCGCGCAAAAGAGGAAGTCGGCCAGAAAGAAGAGGGTACAGAGTCGCGAAGTCGGCGCAGCATCCATTGAGCCCAGAGAAGTGCCCGCAGGGCTAGACCCGCTGCAGCGGGCTGGGTAGGGCGCGGGCCTCACTCGCTGGCGCAAAGCAATCTGGCGTTCTGGTTGTGGAAGAATGTATGCCAGACGGATGAGGGCGTAGGTCTCGAATGTCGCAACTGTATCAGACTGGCTGGGTCATAGCAGATAGCGAAGTGTAGCAGCAGTTTCTATAGATACTGCGTCCATGCAGTCTTCAATTTGCGTCTTTGTGTGGTATCGCGCACCGCTTCCGTGAAACGGCCTGAGTGTTGTCTATGGCGGCACAGCAATCTTCTTAAACGTACGTTGAGCAAGGGTGCTCGGCTTCAAAGTCCTGGTCCGCAGATGACGAAGGGTAACCTGGCAGATATCCGGCTGCTCCCGGGTCTTAAATAAATTGTGTGGTGTGTGCGTTATTCTCCGAGAGTCCCAGCTCACAGGATGTCAAAGACGGGCGCGGGATGCGATGGTTCATAGCATGAACATGAGGCCATGAGGCCACGCACGAGCATGAAGCGAGTAGAAAAAGGAGAAACGAGCAGCAGAAACATAATTGAGACGCGTCGAAACGGTGCCAGAACTAATGCTGATCAGTCGTCCTGCATGAGCAAGCACGAGTAATGTGCACTGTGCATGAGGACCGGCAGCTGAACGGGCGTGCAGTTCAAGCGCAGACAGCCGCGCATGGCAACGGCAATGAATAGATGATAGGCAAAGGGTCCACGAAGGCAGATGAATTGGTACAAGAAGTAAACGTGGGACGACCCCAAGAGGCGGTTCATGTGGTATAAGAAATGTGCTATAGTAGGGGTTAGAGTTCTCGGGGTCGCTCAACTGAGACTAGGCTGTGGCCCCTGCCATGGCAGCGACGACCATCACTATCCCTGAGGAGGGTCAATTCGCCTCGGGCACCCGCCGCCCGATGCAATTAAACACAGGCGTCCCATCTCTTCGGCGAATGTTTTGTTCTTCTGGTATCTTTCTGGACTCTGTAGACGTTGTGCAGTTTTGGAGTTCTCTCTACCAATCTTTTACCACGGCCAGGTCGCGACGCGCATGATTACCGGACTCGCGGACTCTGCATGCCAACCATGCACTGATCATCAAGACTGCAGCATTCCAGACACCTAACATAGAGGGCCTACCGATTTGGATTACGGGCCTCTCTCGTGCAGCACGCGGCGCAGATGGATTACCAGCAACCCGTTCGCTCTCCCCCCGCCGCCGCCGATGCAGCCACTACCGCCCCGGCGACCCAGACTTTGAAGTCGCGGCGGCGCGACTCTCTGCCATCGTCTGTCAAAACATCGGATGCGCGCCCGGCCAAGCGCACGCCCAACTACATACGCACCACGGCCGCCTCGCCCCAGGTTATCTCGTCGCTGATCGACCAGCTGTCGGCCATTTCCATCCCCGCGCACAACCACTTTGAGAATCTCCTCGTCGGCTACGGCAACGGCCTCGCGCCCTCCGCCGCGCCCAGCGTGCGCACCCATTCCGAGAAGAACTCGATCGCCGGGCATGATGGAGCGTCGGTGGACCGCAGCAGCTTCCACAACCCGATAAGAGACCAGAACGACCTCTACCCCGACGACGCATGCGAACCGCCCGTCATCCGCACGTCCAAGCCCCCATCCGGCAAGTCGCCTTTGACCGCGCCCAAGAAACCGAACAAAGCGCATTCGCTTAGTAGTTATATCGGACGCAGCGGTGGTAGCTCGTGCTCCCTACAGTCGACCCATTCGAACCGGTCAGCGAGTAGTTTTGGCAACATCAGCGTCGAAGCAGGCGTGCCGCGCCAGGTATCGGGTGAAAGTGCGAGGTCGTCGTTGGAGAGCAAGAGGAGCTTCAAGGGCCACAAGAGCCTGATGTACATGAGCTCGCGCGAGCGACTACGACAAAAAGAGACGGAACGGAAGCGCGTGACCGTACACAATCTGAACGACACACCAACCGGTGACCCCTCCAAGAAGGCCGCGCACCAACTCTTCCCCTACGAAGACACGATCAGCGAAGAGCCCTCTTCCGCGAAAGAAGACGCACGATTCGACGAGACAGTACCCGAATCGTCACGATTTGCCCAGCGGTATCCTAGCAGGAATAACAGTCCACGACGACTGCGTCTCAATCTGGTCGATGCCCCTCATCTGGAAAGTCCATCAGACAGCGGACTCATCCCCGAACGCGGATCATCCCTGAGGCATACTGGCAGCCCGGCCCGCAAGAGCAAGAAGCGCCGATCCGGGGACAAGAGCCGTCCAAAGTCTCAGAAAGCCGACATGGTCCCCGAAGAGGAAGAGAAGATGGATCCGGAAGCACAAAAGAAGAAGAAGATCTTGGACGAGCTAGAACAGGAAGAGAATGAGGTCGCTCAAAGGATCCGAGAACTAAGAGATCAGAAAATGCGGAGAGACAAATTAGCCGGAAAAATGCCTGTGGACGTACATGCAGGGGCGACAACACCCAGGGTGCCTCGCGTTTCATCCATCCCCAGTCCGGAGTCCTCGCCCATCTCGACAGTTTCAAGCTTGTCGGAGGACGAAAGGAGAGTGCAGAATTCGACCAAGGCGCATCGAGTGCTTGGAATATCACAAGAAACAGCCTTAGCTGCCGAGAAGCTAGCGGAAAGGCCGATGGACAGACCGGCCGAAAAAGCAGAAGGTGACCGCCATAACCTCTCGGTACCATCGCAACCACGCAGCCAGCGCCACTCGCGGCACCGAAGTCTGACGTTGAACGACGGCGATGAGCTTACCCCACTTCCGATCGATTACACGCTTGCGCTCCAAAGTCTGGACGAGTCTGCGCCGACGCCGAGCTTAGCAGATCCACGCCAGTCGAGATCGCCTGCGCCTGCAAGCATCATGTCTAAAGCAACCAAGTCAAGCAGCGACTCTTCCGTACCCCAGCGATCAAATTCACTCTTGGCAGTCGGCGGGCGATCTGCGCTCGGGCGTCGAGCGGCGACCAGTTCCGTCATCATAGGCAAGTCTTCCAAGCACAAACACTCCTCCAGTGTGAACGAAGATTCGACAAACAGACTGGCGCCACCCTCTCGTGCGGCCAGCGAAGAGCCTATTACTCGACATCGCTCCATGCACGTTGTGTCCCCTCCGTTAGAGTCACACAGTATGCAGTTACAGCGCAGACGTACAAGTACCAGCAAGAGGTGGTCGCATCCCGATCTGCCAGCGAAGGCTGAGAAAGCGCATAATGACAGAATCGACCGGAAAGAAGAGAAGACCAGAGCAGCTGCAGTGCAGAGCCCGCCCCATCCGATCATTGAGGAGCGACCTGCAAGTTTAGATTCTATCGATTTGGATGTACACCAATACCTGGAATCATCCCGGCTGTCCCAAAAGATCCGGCACCCGCAAACAGGAAGGATCATTTCTTTCTCAGAAGTCGGCGACCCCGAAGGTTTTGCTGTCTTCGTTTGTGTAGGCATGGGTCTGACCAGATACGTCATGGCATTCTATGATCAGCTGGCAGCCACTTTGAAGCTGCGTTTGATCACACCTGATCGCCCTGGTATCGGAGGTAGCCAAGCTGATCCGAACGGGACACCTCTTAGCTGGCCTGGTATGTGAACATCCCGTCATCTCAAGAGAAACGAGCTAACACTTACTAGACGACGTACTTGTGATCTGTCAGTCTTTGAAAATCAACAAGTTTTCAATGTTAGCGCACTCCGCAGGAGCTGTCTACGCTTTGGCGACATCATTACGAATGCCACAACATATCCGTGGCAGAGTGCACCTTCTTGCACCTTGGATACCGCCATCGCAAATGGCGCCCATTGGCATCAGTCAGGACTCACCACCTACCCAACAACTTCCGCGATCGCAGCGCTTCCTTCGCGCTCTACCCCCATCTCTACTCAAGGTCGCAAACTCAACCTTCCTTAGCGCGACAAGCGCTAGCCTCCAGCGCACTGGGCCCAAGACGTCGCCCAAGACCCGACGGAAAAGCATGGCCCCCTCACCGGTGCCACCACAGCAGTCGACAACTCGCCCTTCTTTGAAGGACACCCACCGACATTCGATGATGATGATGGACCAAGTGCTGCCGAACGCAAGCACTCTGACCCTCCAGAACCCAGATGCCAATAACGAAGAAGCACAACGCGTGCAGGAGATGCTCAGCATGGCTGAACTTGAACGCCAACGCGCTTTTGATGAACGCCTCACTTTCGCCATTTGGGACCGCGCGACTGCAAACGCAAACCCCGCAACCGATCTAATAGTCTGTCTCGAAACCAAGCAGACCATTGGTTTCCGCTACGAGGACATCAACAGGCCAGTTGTCATCCACCACGGGTCCAAAGACTCGCGTGTACCAGTTGACAACGTCCGATGGCTTGGCAAATTGATGCGCAAATGCGAAGTCCGGATTCTGGAGGGCGAGCAACACGGACTTATGGCCAGTGCACAGGTCATGGGTAACGTACTCACAGAGATGGCATCTGACTGGGAAGACTGGACAAACATGGTCTCAGGGAAGTCCACTGATGGACATCGCGCTGTCTCGAGGCGGAGAACGACCGAGAAGCTGAGAAGCCAAATGAGCTTCACCAACTGAGCGTATACATCATAAGACACGCAAGAGCTTTGCTTACCTGTGACGACATTGTAATTCGACGATTTGCGACGGCCTGGATCTCTTCGCCATCTTTTGAAACAAGCGTGTGCTTTTTTTCCTTCATGTTAATTGGCGAGAACACGACCTGAAATACCCCCATACTAATTACCCGTTGTTTTGTACGTTGTTCTAATCGCCTAGTTAGTTTTTCTCTTCTTTTCTGATTGTCTTCTTTTCTTTGGATACACTATACCCATTAGGTTTGAAGCGTTTTGTATGGGCTGGATACCTTGATTGGATCTATGACGTAGATATGGAGGGGGTAAAGGGATACTAGATGGCAAGGAATCTTGTGATATAACTGGCTACAATGAAATCTTTGCACATCGCAGCAATACATCTCATTACTCACTACACTCGACGCATACACACGATTGAGTTTCAACAACTAGGCAGTTCCTAAGTCGATCTATATTCCTACCTTAACCAACAGTATAGGCCTCAGCACCTTTACCAAAGAGCAAATGTGGCTTTCTCTGCGCCAAATCCAACACCGTCTGCGCAAAGACCGAATTCGCCCACGCGAACCAACTCCTTGTGTATGACTTTCCAGACTGTACATTCACACTCTCGTGTATGAGTCCCAATGGACTCACTTTCTTGACCGCAGCAAGACACTTCATAATCTCATCGTCGTCATCGCTACTCATAGCTTGAACGAGGACAGCCATGGGCCAAGCGTTCCGGACGCCGACGTGGGGACCGCCGATGCCCGCAAAGTCGGAGCCGGTGAGGTAATAAGGATTACCGTTCTTCTCCAGTATCATCTTGCGCGTGTTCTTGTAGATCTTGTTGTTTGTGTCCGTGAAGCCGAGCAGAGGTAAAGCGAGTAAGGAGGGCAGGTTAGCGTCATCCATCAAGATGGAAGATCCGTAGCCATCGACCTCAAATGCAAAGACTTCGCCGTATTTCTTGTGTGTCACGACACCGTGTTCCCAGATGCCCTTTTGGATTGTCTCGCCCCAGGTCTCCACTTCAGTTGCTATGTGTTTCTTGCCCGCTTTCTTGAGAATGGCGGCCGTGCGGAGGAGTTCGACGGCCATCATGGCGTTGGCGGGGATGAAGAAACCGAGGATTGTAGCGTCGTCGCTGGGGCGGAAGGCAGAGCGGACGAGCCCTGTGCCGCCATTGAGAGGGTTGCCGAGACCGCTTAGGCTAAGGGTTTCGGTGCCGATATTGGTCTGGCGCTGCCATGTGTACTCGTTGCCCTGGTATGCGCCTGTCTTCTCGTTGAAGGTAGGCTTTGACTGCTCCTTGAGCACGCCGAGAAGTGTATCGAGAGCGAGGAGCCAACGAGCGTTGATGAACTCGGTGGAGTCGGTATGGTTGTAAAATTGGTTCGATAAGGAGAGAAAGTGGGCGAGAGAGTCGAGTTCGTACTTGCATTCAAAGACGAATGACTCCTCGTAGTTTGGATGTACTTTATCGCCATCGCCTTGGAAGGTTGGGTTGAGACCACTCGGTGGAGGCGGTTGGAAGGCGTTGCAGTATGGTGATCCGATGACATACTCTGCCTGTGTGTTAATGGCTCCCAGAATGAGCTGGTGTATCTCCTTGTCTTTTTTGGCTAGCAGCTGGTATTGTGCTAGCTGGTTCGTAGAGTCGCGTAGCCATTCAGCGTTGATGTCTCCCGTAACGATGAAACTCTGTGCTCCCTTCCAAGCTGCTGGATCCCAACTTCGCTTTGACGTCTTATGCTTGACAGTATCACCGACATGCCAGCGCACGGTGGTGTCTAGTGTGTTGGGGAACGCGTTTTCAAAGAGACGAGCGAGGTCCTTGTCGACCATCTTCTCGTTCATGTCATCGATGACCTTTTCGACTAGAGGCGATTCGAACGTTCGGCAATATTTGGACGGCCGTTGGAAGGGTAGTTCCATGGGGCCGGTGCTATACGGCGGACTGTCAGACGAATTAGTACAAACGCTTTTCGCTGTATATATTGGCATACTGTGGTCGCATCGCATAGTTCTTGTAGTCTGGACAGGCTGCTCGATACTTGAGCGGATCGATGGGATTGCGCATAGGTTCTTGCTCCTTAACATTGTTTAGGCCAGCGGATACAGATGAGACTGTAAGAAGAGCCCCTAAGGACAACGAAGCTAACGAATGCTTCATATTAGGTCGAGACGGTTCAATCGTCACCTTGGGTACTCGAAGCTTTCGCGAGAACAGCCAGATTCAGTTGCGCAATGGCTATCGGTAATCGAGGAATGCAAGGATGGACGGGGCGCAGAGGAAAGGGCGTTCAGCTGAAGACGTTGAACATGACGTGAAACAGGAAAGACAAAGCACCCGAATCATCAAAAGCGAAATGAACAGATGACGGGCTTCAATTGAGGTATAGATTGACGAACTTCCGACTCACCAGGGAGCTTTCATGGGGAAGGCACCCCACCAGCTCCGCCAATGAGCTCATGTTAAGTCCGCAGGGCCCAAGCTTCGCTGCGTCGCGCTTCCCAGTTCCTCGACTGATCGCGTCTCTATTCTTCACGCCTATCGCCTGCTCACTGCAACCTTGACGACTACGTGACTATCCCTTGGTTTCTCAAGCGCTATTGTATTGCGCACTCATATTCGAATGTGCAGATTGATCTCCTCACCCAGCTCATAGGAATATCTACACTTCAGCGCATTCAGTCCTTGAACAGCTTCGGCGTCTCCCCACATCACTATATCCACCATGATCTCTCTACCAGGTCTCAACCTGTCCTCGCAGCCGACCGAAGCGCAAAATGCCCCCACCTCGACAGCCACACGAACGCAAGACCTCGCTGCCAACACAGAATACCGCTTCGAGGTAGCCTTCTCGCGGACACTCACGGTGAAGCTGCAATCGGGCACCGCAGAATTTTTCGGCACCGAGCTGGCTCCGTCTACCGTATACACATTCCAGGGCACAAAGGGTGCTATCTTCACATGGCATGGCTGCAAGCTCGACATCGGCGGAGAGGTTGAGTCAGACTACATCGCGGAAGAGACGCCCATGATGAGTTGTGCGAACCTACACTTCGCGCTGGAGAACCTGCGCGACAGGAGTATTGCCAGTGGCAGCGTCGAAATGGGACCCAGAATACTTGTCGTGGGTCCTGAGAACTCAGGCAAAACGTCACTCGTCAAGACTCTGACTTCCTACGCGGTCAAGACCAGCCGGCAGCCTATGGTCGTGAATCTCGACCCGCGCCAGGGTATGCTCAGTGTGCCAGGCTCTTTTTCAGCGGCTGTATACTCGTCCATTGTGGACATTGAAGAAGGCTGGGGCAGCAGTCCAATCTCAGGGCCCAGCCCCATTCCAGTGAAGATGCCGCTGGTATACCACTACGGTCTCAAGGACCCAGAGGAGGGCAGGGTGTTCAAGCCGTTGGTAACGCGCATGGCACTTGCTGTCACAAGTAGATTGGAGGAGGACACGCTCAGCAAGCAGGCTGGCTTCATCATTGATAGCTCAGGCGCCATCAGCCAAGGGAGAAATGGCGTCTACGACAACATAGAACATATTGTTTCTGAGTTCTCTGGTGCGTGTGATGTCTTGCATACTACTTCAGCCTTTCCCCTCCCAACATCGCCCACGTACATTCATGCACCCAAGTTCCACTATCTACTTTCCGAGAGGACAGGCAATCAAACGTACGTACACAATATCAGATCATCATACTGACAGTCTACTACAGTCAACGTCGTCATAACCCTCGGCTCCGAACGCCTCTACTCTGACCTCTCCCGCAAATTCTCAGCCCGCACCGGCGGCGACCCCTCCGAAACCGTGTCCGTAGTCCGCCTTGACAAGTCCGGCGGCTGCGTCGACCGAAGCGAAGAATACATGAAAGCCCTCCGCCATGCCCAAATCAAAGAATACTTCTTCGGCAAAGGCGACGAGACACTGGCTCCCAGCAGCCAAATGGCCGACGCCGCCGACCTAAACATCTTCCGTGTCGTCGAAGGAGAAGGAAACGGCGGAATAGACGAGTACGGCATGACGGTTGAGCGGCAGATCTTCGAGAAAGTCACACCGTCTGAGGCGCTTCAGAACCAGTTGTTGGCTATTACAACAGCGAGCCCCAATGATCCGCAGAGCGTCATCAGGGATAGCAGCATCAGGGGATACATCTATGTCGCGGACGTAGACGAGGCGAAGAAGAAGGTCAAGCTGCTTAGTCCGCTGCCGGGACAGACGCCCGGCAATGCCATGATCCTGGGTAGTTGGCCGGAACCTGTGGAAGGTCTGCTTAACTAGAACTGAGAAGGAATGATGGGGGATTCTAACGCTGATACATTTGCATTGCGCTGCACAGATAGGTATTTTGAAACATATTCTTGAATCCTATTGTACCTTTGCCTACACTCGAGCCGTTCTTAGTGATCTTTCCTAACATTGATGTCTGCTCTGAAGGTATCTACCGTTGCTTTTGTCACGGGTTGCATCGTGGATGTTAGGTATATCTTTGGAATACGTATTTGAATACTGGATTCAATTTCTTATACAAGGTACGTGTCGATCCGCAGCCGGGAAATATACATAAGCTTCTAACGTCGTCCACCCTATGTACGTAAGCGAAAGTCCAAATTAATCTGTCAAAGAAGAATCCGATAGGCCGTAGTGAAACGGAGTGAGGGACCCATCTGGAGATTGCTTGAAAGAATAAGGTTCGAAAGCATAATCGCGCCACCCTACTCCCTTCCACTCGACCATCTCCTTGCGCCCAACTACCACCTCTTTCCAGGCCCAGTTCATCGCAATGTTCTGAAAGTCTTCCCCAAATATCGGGCGTGGGTTGAATGTGTTAACGCCAGTTCCCAGACATGTCACCTCATGGGCCACCAATCTCATCGCATGCAGAAAGTAGCTTTTCTTCTTGCCTTTTGCGCCCAGCTTGAAGCGCGCAATTTGCTCTTGGGTAAGCGGTGTGTGATCAGACGCAATCGAAGATATGGGGCAGAGGCAGAAGGAAGGCAAGTTGTTGACAAGCTTGCGGACAACGTATTGAATGTCAGTCGGAGAGTCGAGCCAGCCGTCTGGTGGAAGTGGAAGGCCAATGCGGAGATGTGTCGTGTCGCCTATCTTGCTGATAGTCGGGAGCACGAAGTTGTGAACTTCGAATTCCTTCCTAAACCATGGAGCATATGCTTTCAACCACTCGTGCTCGAACTCGTAATAGATGATCTTGCACGAGAGGATAAGGCTGCGATAGCTGCGAAGTTCGTGCGAAGAAGGCATGCGTTGGGCGACGAAGACCTTCCTTATATGGTTCACATAGGGAGGACACTCGGAGTAGGGGTTTTCTGTAGGCCAGGCCGTTGCAGGAATTGAGGTAATGATGTAGGCGTAGATCTGGAGGCGAAGTTCTATAGGGAGATCGAGGAAACCTGCAGTCGTAGTCTTTGGGGAAATCATCCTCGGAGTTGACAAGATGTTTGTTTTGAAGTTGAAGCAGGCCGAGTACGAGTTCGAGCTAGAGAGAGAGCCGAGTAGAGCCCTTAGCTGTATTTTAGAGACGTAGGCGTGTTGTGCACGGACGCCGTGAATACCGGGAGGCGCACCCGAGGCGCATACTCGACACTGACAGGGAACCAAAACCCCCAAAGTTTGCTTGTAGTCCTCAACACTCGGGGTTCTCGACATTCGGGCGAGTGCCATTTACACTACTACATCTCCTCATCCCTCTCTTGCATCTCCTCTCTCTCAATCACCTCAGCCATCCGTTCCCTCACACTCTCGTCTTTATCCCAGACCTTCCATCCCATATGTGGTTTAATCTCGTTAGGTTTCTTGTCCGGAGGAGGCATCTTCGAGAACGGACACTCGGGCTCCTCTTCGTCATACAAAAAGGCATCAACCTCGTCATCAACAACCTGTGAGTACTGACCGGACAGGGGTGCTGCGACCCTAAAACTCGGTTTACTGACATCCTTCGTATCGCGGTAATGCTTCCTGAGCTTATGGAAAAGCCAAGGAAAGCCATACTGCGGTGGTATGCGCTGGAAACAATGATACAAAGTGACGTGCTGTAAGTTTACCGATGACGTGAAGAGATCGAGCAAGTCCTGTGGGGATAGCTTGATGTTTCGCAAGGTGAGTGTTTTCAACTGTGGTCTCAACGCCTCTGGGATAGGATTAAACTGCAGAAACCGGCGCAGAGTCCGAGCTGATCTCTTATCGTTGAGACTCAGGTCGAGATGCTCGAGGTATCGTAATTCCGCTAATAAAGACTGGAGATTGGTCAAGCTCTCTTCATCGTACAGATAATCATTCGAAGGGGTGACTGTCAATTTGACGTGTTTCAGAGGTGTTCTCTGAAACATTTGCTTGGTGATTTGGTAGTTGTGTGAAGCAGCTTTAGCGACAAAGCAGTGGTGGTACTGTCTCGCTTGGTGTTCTGATTCAACGATGAACTCTTCTATCCGCGGATTTGGCATGGCGAGGATCGCAGCAACTACGACGCCATAGCCTCTGGGTAACGATTCTCCATTATCCTTCGGCTTGGCGGCACGTGAGGACCACTGATCGTATATACGCTCTGCCTCTTGAGGAGGTCGTAGCCATGGCCAGATAGTTGGTTTGCGGAAGCCCATAGGCAGTGAACGATGATAGGGCGTGTTGTACCGAGGCGATACATTCCACGCAGGCCATACGTCGATCGTTGTAGTGATCCTTTTTACGCTTGGAAAGCTGGCTAGTGCTTCATGTAATGCAGCTGCATCGACCCGCTGTTCCACAAGTTCCTGTTCTTGACGATACAACTCCTGGTACAGCGCATAGCTGTCTTCAATGCTCATCATTGTGGCATTTCTAGCCAGAACATCTCTTGAGAAGTGGTCGTCATATCGCAAGAGGATGCCCTTTGCGATCTCGGTCAGCCGACCATCCTCGATTAGGTCTGCCACCGATAATGATCGATGCTCAGGGTTTTCGTCGCCGTAGAGCTCCATGGCCTCTTCGAGTCGGCTTTCAATCGCCCTGGTAACCTCTCTTTCGTCGGCGAGAACAGCTTGGCGGAATTCATCCAAAGTTGAATACTCATTGAGCAAGGCATCATCCCAGACAATCTCGAGTACACGGTTTTTGTACGTCGGGTGAGCCATGATCTGGTGCAGATAGTCCAGATTAGCTCGATTAGGCGAGACATAGACGCGATCTATACGCAGATACACGCTGGCCGCCAAATGCTTGCTCGTGAGCCGCAGTCGCTTGATGTCGAGCTTTGAGATGTGTTGGCAGACGATTTCGAGAAGTTCCGATGGCAAATCCGTGATGGTTTTCCTGTTCTGGGCCCCGCTCCCAAAGGCCTCGGGGAATTCATCGCCAAACAGGCCTTCCATAAAGCTCACGGACGGAACAATGCTCGCACTCAATGCCGAAACAGTGGAAACCCTGCGCTTTGAGACGCCAGCCCGAATAGACAAGCTAGGCTTGCGGCGTCGGGTCTTGGCAGGCCGTATCTGGAGGTTTGTGAACATCGCATTGGTATGTATATGTGATTTGATGGACGCGGTTTCCAGATAGTAAACACAGGCGGGTGCCGGGAGCTGGTTTGTTGTGGCGGTATGTAGGCCTCCTGCTAGGCTATGTTGCACGTACAACGTTTGAGCGTAGGCTGCGTATGTAGGCGTCTGGAATCGTGTGTAAAGAAACAAATATGTTTAGATGAGGTAGCGAAACTGATTAGTTGATGTTCAAAATACGGTGTCGAAGGACAAAGGTTTATGCTAAGGGTGCTGAAACGCCAGCGCTTGCAGCGCTACCAATGCAAGGCTACTTGCTACACCATTTGAGGACAGCTGAGCGGCCATCATAGGCATATACCGTGTCGCACATGTGACACTACTAGATGCGATAAATGAACACCCAATGAGTCGCATACGTGAGACGCGTTCATAGACGGTACGGAAGGACAGTCAATTGTGATCGCGGAAGCCGCAACGTGCCCTCGTGCCTTCGCTTACAGCGTGGTGGAGAGCTGCCCGCAGTAGGGTGGGTCCGCCCAAGTCAACGTCAAACCTTTACAAACGACATCACAGACAGCTTCGAGGACATGACATGTAACCAGGTCTTCTCATTGTATGAAGTGCTTTCCAGCAACCTCAAAGAGTGCCCGAGAGCATACATAAGCGGGTACTGCCCTTCAGCAAGTACCCCACGAACGGTTCCACGACGCATCCACCGCTCGATACCCGCAACCAGTAAATGGCCTACCTACGCAGGCCTACAGTATACCAGACACGCCATCGCGGCAGATGCGCTCGCTCTTCCCATATCGATATGAAGATTGACCAGCACCCGAGTTATCCGTACCCCGCACATACCAGCGCCGAAGCACGGAAGTATGACTGAGGCTGTGTGTAGAAGTCGACGTCAGGGAAGGGGGCGAGTCGTTCATCTAGGAACCCTCCTCGCCTTCGGCCTTGTTCTTCTTCTTCTTCTTGCTTGAGCCGAAGTCATTCTTTACTGTAGGAACGGCCGACTGGTGGACGATGAAGCGGGTGTAGCACTCTTCTGGGTCCCACTCAAAGCCCATGAGGTATGGCTTCTCGAACTCGTCGTCTGCCTATAGGAGGGTTAGCTATGCTTTGGCACCAAGATCAAAGGACGCGGTATATAGGAACAGCGACAACGATGCTCGATGGTAAGATCCAATGACAAGGGACACTTACGCGCTTCTTGAACTGCTTGTGGATGGCATCTAGTGCGTCCTTGATGGTTACACCCTTCATGTTCCGTGCGGTAACTTCTAATCCTAGCGGGAAGTGGAGGGCGATGGACTTGAGCTTGGGCTCGGTGAGTGGCATCTTCAAGACTGACGGGTCTTCGACGGTGCTCGGCGACTTGTTGAGCTTCCTGGAAGTACTGCATTAGCACGGTCAAGATATTGGGGCTTCCGGAGCTATCCGGACGACGACGAGCTGGTCTGCATCATGGTCGGATGGCTCGCAACAATGCGATGAGGGGAATCACTTACCAGTTCAGCTTCTGGGTTTCGAGTGCGATCTCGATCTTCTTGCCTTCCTTCTCTGAGGTTCTGTCAGCCCCGCCCGCTGCTCACGCACGACCCCTCATTTGGGCTATCGTCATAAGAGGTACTCACCTAGATCTTCGATGCGGTAGACATCAGCAGCCATGGAGCTGACTCTGCGGTGGCCCTTCTTAGCGGCGCCATCTTGGTGATCGGTCAAAGAGTCGACCTTCTGGAGCGTGTTTTCTGTCTCTGCGGCCATTGTGGTAGGATGCAGTTGCAGTCAAGCTACTGGAAGATTGAAGGGGTTGTAGATGATGAAAGAGCTTGGGAAGCTGCAGAAGGGTTGCCTGGAGCTGTGGATGTGATGTGAGATACGAAAGCACAGTGGAGGCTGTGAGGAAGGAGAGGAAACGAGGGAGGGCGCAGCTTATGAGGGGCTCAGTCTCTCGCCGGCAGGCACAGGAGACGGTCACTTGATCGATCACCACATTGTGGTCCAATCCAATCGGCGTGAGACGTGAATGGTCGGGCCAATGCGGGGAAGGGGAGCATCACCCAGAATGCGGGGAAGGAGCAAACCAACGGTGGAGGCCTGCGTGTCCATCCAACATTGTTGGCCGAAAGAGTTCGAGATAGTGTGGAAGCTAGCAATTGAGCCTCGTTATTCGCACTTTGACCTTCCCAAGTATCTATTGCCGTTATGTTGTTGCTCCGGAACATCAGGCACGGTGGTGAGATAGATCGCGTGACCGACGTCATTGGCCGCTCGGCGCTGGACAAAGCGCGCATCGACGCGTATCATCTCAGCTCCGGGCCCTAATGCGGTCCGAGTGAATCAGAGATCCACTTGATTACTGCAAGGGCTCAAGGTCCACGCGGAGATGCATGTCAGCGTTCTACTGGACTGTTCACTTTCGCGAGATGATCTGGGCTGCCTAGGTACCTAGGTATCCATGTGGACTTTGTAATTACTCACTTGGAAAAGCAATATAGATGCATGATGACTTCGCATTTGACACCGCAACATTGATTGATATATCGCTTGTTGGCTCCGACCGCTATTATCGATGGTATTGTATGATCTGCCTATGAATGCCCAACAATCCTAACGGGCTCGTATAACTCCTCGAGGTACTTCTCCTCCTCCTCAGTCAACTCCTTGCCCCTCGCTGCAAGCGCTTCATCCATCCTGTCTGTGCTGGAGAAGCCGATGATTGGACTTGCGACACGCTTGTTGATCCATGCGAGGGCAACGTGGCTCATTTTCCAGTCATGCTTCTTCGCGATCTCTTCAACGCGAGCAATGATCTCCTTGTCAAGTTCAGTGTTACCAGAGGTTTGGTTACCGGCCTTCTGTTCGCCTTCTGAGCGAGTAGTCGAGCCAAATGCAGAGGGAGGGCGAGCGAGATGGCCACGGCAAAGAGGTGCCCACTGTCAAGCTGTTAGCTAAAGATTGACTTTGTAGTTGAAAGAAAAGCATACCGGGATCAGACCAACACCAGTGTCATTGCAGAACCGGTTCATCTCGCGCTCTTCCTCACGGTAGAGCAGGTTGTAGTGGTTCTGCATGCTGATGAACTTTGTCCAGCCGTTCTTTTCAGCAGTGAACTGCATTTGCGCAAACTGCACTGCCCACATGGAGCTAGCACCGATGTATCGAACTTTCCCACTCTTGACCAGATCGTGCAGCGCCTCCATGGTCTCCTCCAGAGGCGTGTTTGGATCGAAGCGGTGAATCTGCAGAAGATCGATATAGTCCATGTCAAGACGCTTAAGCGACGCATTGACAGCGTTGAAGATGGCCTGCCGTGAGAGACCACCTTGGTTTACATAGTCTTTCAACTGAGGCAGCTCTTTGCCGTACTGGATGGTTCGCAGACCGGGGTCCTCGCCGACGTAGCCAAAGCATTTGGTGAGAATTACTAGCTTATCGCGAGGTAGGTTGTACTTCTTGATGGCCTTGCCAACCAGTTCCTCAGATACACCGTTGGAGTAAACATTGGCTTTATAAGCTGTCAGTAACTGTTGCAAGTACATGACTGCTCTGTCAGTCTTACCTGTATCCCAAGTCGTCAGACCGCGATCGTATGCAGCCTTCAGCAGCGGTAGCGACTCTTCCTCTTCGATGACCCAGGGCTGCCATTTGGAACTTCCAATGCTCATAGCACCCAAGATGGGTACCGAGACCTTGAGACCGCTCTTTCCCAAGCGCTTATATTCAGCCTTGGACTCCTTGAGGAGCCCTTCGATATTGAGCTTGTCCGTCATGGTCGCAAATCAGTAGATCGGTTGCGGATTGGTGTTTAGTGGGGTCCTTGATGTTTCGTAGGGCTGTGGTGGGGCAAGCAACTGAGGTGTGAATAAACCAACAGCTGTATGGGCGACACGGTGCTCATATATTTCGCCATGACGGCACTTTCGCCGTGCCTGCACCACCTGCTTTCCAATCGAGGTTACAATGAGCTGTCATTGTCGGGCTTTGCGGCGATAGCCTCATCATTGTCCCGGTGGTAGATATTACAACGAACAACGATGCGGGGTTCAGGCACGACGAGCCGCCATGGATACGTCATGTGGAAATCCCACATCCGCGGACAGTCCAGCCGCCAAAAGAGGCAGGAGGCGTCTCTTCGTGCATGGATAGAGAGATGGAACCGAATGATCATCAGATTCATGCTTACTCGTAATGTGATCTCATTCATAGTGTGCTAGGCTGGACTCCTCAGGCACGGGCTCACACCATGCAACATCACCAAAGGCCAAAAAGCAGTCGCAGTTGTGTTGAAGTGAGTTTAGATCGTTCATGTCTCTTGGCAAGTACTGATCTTATTGACCTCTCATCACCTCACACTTCATCGTGAATGTGCCGGCGCGATTCCATCAAGTCATGGTGGTATTGTTTGAACATCGTTTTTGATCTTAGACCCCCAGGCGCCAACCGCATATGATGCAGAGAAGTTCATAGATGCTCATTGCCCGTAAAGAAACCCGTACTCCCCAGAACCGTTTACGCGTCCTCAACGATGTTGCCGCGCTCCGACACGTACAGACCGTCCAAGAACTTTCGGATATCCTTGTTGCGGACCTTGCAGATTTGCTGGATATCGGCGGCACCTTGGGAGACGTCCTCGAGCGACTGGGTGATGGTTAGCATTGCTTCGATCCATATTGCGCAGCGGTCCTTACGTTTCCGGACAGCTCGAGCTGATCCTTCTGGTTCTTTGATGCCTCAACCTCAACACCGGGCCTCATGACGACCCTTCGTACGAGCTTCTCGCCGATGAAGTTCCTGATCTCAACCTCCCAGCAGTCGGTCTCCTTGTTCTTGTCCAGGTTGACGTTGATGGGGAAACTGGACATGATGTTAGTCATGTTCAAAGATGTGCAAAGGCCCGCCAAGAGCATGAGCCAATCTGGCGCGCCCAGCGCTCTGGCATCAGCCTCTCGGAGAGCGCTGAAAGTTGTGTCGGATAGAACATGCTCGACGGCGGGCTCGGAAGAGATGTGCGATGGGTGCGACATACTGGGCATATACGTAACGCATCTTGTACTTGTAACCCTTGGTGACACCGATGATTAAGTTGTTCTACTCCAGTCAGCCCAGTCCTTCCTTCCTTGCCAGTATAGACTCGAGGGTGCGCGCGACGTACAATCAGGGTGCGGACAGTGCGGAGGGTGGCGACGCTCTTGCGGGAACCGTGGTGGAGCTCGATCTTGATGAGGTTCTTCTTGGGCTGTTCCAGTCTTAGCATGTGCCCCCGATGCGTTGTGTGTGTTCCAAACGTACGTGCGTGAAGCTGACCGCCAAGTGACCGAGAGACTTTGTGAGCTTGCCCTGTGGAGTGTAAGAATCGGTTCGAGGATCGTAGAGGCTATTGCGGGCGGCTTACGCGAGGGCCTGTTGGATATGTCAGTGTTGTTTCTCTAGGGGTCCTCTACCATGCGCACTCACCCTCAACGAGAACATTTCTGTTCTTGATCTGGACCTTGACGCCCTCGGGGATCTCGAGCTCTTCCTCAGAGTGGCTGTTGCGCAAACGTCAGCATTGGATCCGGAATTTGATGTTTGTTGGCGGAGAAGTTCGGTATAGAGGCGTCCATTGACCGTTCGGAGGCAGGGAAAAACGTGCGATGCGGCGGCTTGGGAGTCGTGATCGAGGGATAGACGTACATGTACTTCATCTTGACGGTTGCTGCGGGTTAGCGGTGTTGTCGAGAAGCTGAGGTCGAATTGTCGAAATTGTGTGGGAGGCAGCGCGGACAAAACGATAGCCGAGCCACCGCTCTAGCCCGCTTTTGTGCGCACTAGTGCCGCCGTCTTCCTCGTCATGTCGAAGAACACCAACTTCCATCCCGACGAGTTGCGACTTTTGCTACCGCGATACCGGACTCAAAATGGCAGACGCAAATCCACACATTGCGCAGACGCTGCTACATCGCGCATTTTCTCCTTCGACTGCAGAATCACACTACCATGAGCGCGTCATAAAGCGCCCCCTCCACGTTCGCGCAACCTCGCCTACGCCGTCTGCACGCGCAGTCCGCCGCCGCGCTCTCAACGAGCGCAAACAAGCCGCCAGGAAGCGCAGCAAGAACCAGCCCCGTCCGCTATCCGCTGCGAAGAAACGTGCATTGTGCCTGAACGAGATACCCAAGGAGCAACAGAAGTATGCCATCTACGACGGATTACACAATTTGTGGGTGGGATACATGCGGGAGGTGCTAGGCCTGAACGACGCTGCGAGGAATGTGCTTGTCACGCCAAACGCAAGTGGGCAACTGCTTGCGACTGCCGACATGCACGGTGCGCTTGTGAGTGTGGTGAGAAGCCGCTGCGTGAGCCGCGTAGGCTTGGAGGGCATCATCGTCCGTGATACGAGATTTACATTCGAGATCATCACGAAGAATAACGCTGTGAAATGTAAGTCCTGTAGGCTAGACTCAGGTAAGTGGTAAGTATCTGACAATCTCAGCTATACCCAAGGAACACACTATCATTCGCTTTGAGTTGCCGCTTCCGGTCGAAGAAGGAAAGGAGCCCATGAAGCCACTGGTCTTTGAGCTCAACGCCGAACAATTCCAGACAAGAGCGGCTGATCGCGCGAACAAGAAGTTCAGGATGCACTACCAGCCCGACATATGAAGAGAGCACATTACCATCTGGTGAAAATTCCGATACCAACCCAGAGACGAGCCCGAGGACCTACGGCTCTCTGGAGTTCATGAGCCGACCGACAGCATTACCGGTCATGCAGTCACTCCAGTATGAGGCTCAGAGACTAGCCAACAAGCGGCCTGCACCAGCAATGCATGTCGTTGTGCGAGATGTGCTCCGAAACGAAGGAGACGATGGGCGGCAAGAGGAATGAGAAGGAATCACACTTCTATCAACACAGATATGGCGAAGAGCCACAAGTCGAAAGACACAGTCAAAGTGGGCATGCAATTATGTCATTGAGTATGGTATCATCCCGATGGCGCTTCAAAGCGCCTCCCGCTAAATGCAATGGTATCATGAACAAACAATCTCTTCATCCGCGTTTCAAAATCTTACACGTTCGTTGCGACCCTTCCAGTCTGGAAGTCCTCGGGCTTGAAGTCTCTCAGCTCGGTCTCCCGTCCACTACTACCACCGTTCATCGAACTGATCTCATCCTTCTCTTTAACAGCCCTGCCCTTGTCCAGTCTGCACCCTGTATAGCTTCTCGGCAGATAACGACCCGGATGCCACACAGCGAACACGACTAGCACAGCAAGTATGGGCGCGGCATCGAACACCCAGAAGCACCATTCGTGACTCTGAAGATAAGCTAGCCCGTAGTTGCGATCGTGTGGTATCTCGATGGTTCGATAGAATGCCCGGCAGGCGATAAGGACGGAGGAGAGATTGATGGTATACCCCAGTTTCCGCCAAAGGTGCAAATCTCCAAGGTCGTGTGCAGCCCAATGCCGGCTAATGTAGAAGTACCGCATGCTGATGATGGAGAAGCTGAGGAAACACAGCAGTTGCATCACCAGACCCATGATGAGGATGATCCGACCAGGCAGCGCTTTCCGTTCCGAAGCAGCAATGGTCCGGTTTCCTTGCGTGTCTTCATCATACTGCCGACTAATCTGACTCGCGCCGACGAGTTGGACGAGGAAACTGAGAAGGTCGAAACACACAAAGTTGGCGGTAATCCACCTAGGGAAGCACCACAGCGTTTTGAAGTTGAGCGCGTGGGTTGGGCAGGAAAACCATACTACGCGACTGAATGCCGTGTAGCATGCTGCAGCCAGGAAGCTGGGTGCGAGCAAGATCATGAGCCATGAGGCGAGGAAGGGCGACTCTCTGTGCTCGTCGTAGGCAGATACTAAGCGGCATATGAAGCCCAGATCGAGCATGATAATGGCGATGATGGCCGCCCAGAAGAAGTACGCCTTGTGGCGGACATATTGGTAAATCGAGTATGTGGAAAGTAACAGGACGACAATTGCGCCTGTTATAGCCAGGGGGTAAGAAGGGTCGTAGATGTAAGGGTTCAGGAAATTTTGGCCTGCGATGTGGTCAGCGACGATGTTGCGTTGCTGAGTAGTAGCAGACGGGGACGAACATACCAACTTGAGCCCGATTTGGCAACCCCATACTCGATCGCGCGTCTAAGACTGCGCTCACGACGTGCATCTTAGCAGACATATCCCGCTCCGCACAGGTCCACCTGTTTAAATCTCCGAGCGTAGTCGTTCGTCGATCACGGCAGCCCCAGTAGTCGTAATGGTCGCTCTTTCGCAAATGCCGATGGCGCGTCGCTCATGTCCCAGTCGCGGTCGCAGTGATGGTAACGCCACAACGTCGTGGTACAGCAACCTCGTCGCAAAAGGGCATGCTCGAACACCAGGGAAAAGAGCCAGCGGAGAAGCGACCCAGATAACAAAAGGCGGCGGTAACGCACGTTTTACCCAAGCCACGCCCGCCTGCGTTCTCCGCTTGCTAAGAGCGCTCAAGGCCTTGGCGGTCCCTGGCCCTTTCCACTCCGCACGCACTGCGCGTCTCCTTTCCTCCAGCTCCCACGTCCCCAGTCCGTCTCACATGTGCTGGCTAGGTAGGGCCGGGTAACCCGCGACACTTACGTCTTTAATGCGAGACGGGAGACGGATAAGGCGGGTATACACACCATGCAACGCAGTGCCGCGCGCACTACTGCTACCGACCCAGGTACATCTCCCTTTGATATTAACTCGGTACACACACGTAGTCGTACCTCGCTCTTTCACGGTTGCACCCTCGAACGAAAGGCCCGGGAGCAAGCACACGCGTCAGGAATTACCACATGATCCGCCGGCGTGGCCTTGGCAAACCAACGAAAGCCATGGCGTGTGTCGCTGCCAATGTGTTGGCAATGAGGCCGCTCGCCGAAGTAGCCGCACGCCGGGACTTCGCGTCTTACCAGACCCTACGGCGTGGTGTTGAGGCGTCGTCCAAGTGTCTTTGTGGTGTATAGTCGTCGCGGCCAAGTAATATCCCGATGCAAACGTGAGCCGTGGCATTTCTTCGTTGCGCGATATTATCGGCGGATCGTTCGGCCTTGGGCTACGTGCCTGGTTTCTGTGTTGTGGTGTTATCCTGGCTAAAGGCCAGCGAGTACGTTCTTGTGAAACTGAGGCGTCCAGGTGTGGCGCAGGCACGCCAAACATGGGCACAGGCGCGTCCTTGTGGCCTGCGCAAGCGCAGAAGGCACTACCTTTCGCGATGAACGCCACTTGTTTAGGATCGAGAAAGTTCTAGGTGTGTAGCCTAAGTTTATTGAGATGCACCGTATCTTGTCACCGATTTCACGATAGATTACGTATTATGAGGGAACCTTGGCAAAACTGGAGAAACATCGTGAATTTCCCCCTTGAGATCTTAGTTTTCGAGCCAAACCTTGAATCACCCTAAGCAGCTGGGTACAAGACCCGACCAAAGTATCTCGAACTACCGTTTCATCACATCATCTCCACGAGAATTTATCGGCTTGCCTTCGCCTACCCGTCTACTCATCGTCAAACTCGTCGTCGGAAGCGATCTTATCCGCACTCTCCTTGTTCGAGCCATCAATCTCAGCCTCGTCCTCGTCATCATCGAGACCCATGCCCTTCTTCAACCAGCGCACTTCCTTGGGCTTCCGCTCCATCCAGAGCTCGTTCGGGATCCAGGTATAGAAGCTGCACATGGTCTCCTTGATGTCGTCGAGAATGGTCATGCCGCCGGTGAGGTGCATGATGTTGGCGTCCATCTTCAGACCCACGAAACAGTCCTTGATGATGTCTTCCTCGATCCAGAATTCGTACTCTTTGCCGTCGCCAGCTTTGCGCGGCTTGCCGTTGGGATACTTGCTGTTGTCCTTGGGTAGGTCCCACTCATCACAGTCATCCGTGTACCAGGTCTTGCACAGGAGCTTGCCGAGAGGTTCAAGCTGGCCGAGCTTATGTTTGAAGAGCTTGCTCTGCTCTGCATATGCGGACTTCGTGTCGTCGTCAGGGAGTTGAACGGCGGTGACCTCAAGATAGGCAGTCTCTTTGCTGAGAACCTGCAGATCTCCAGACTCGAACATATCGTACTGCGCATCCGAGCCCAGAACCGCGATGCCAGTACCGAACTTGACCCTGGCCTCTTCCTTCCGGATACCGATCTCGGAAACAGTCAGGCCTTCCTTCTTGAGGTCCTCAGCCCACGACTTGTCGCCAGTATATATGTCGGCCTGAGCGCCACCGAAGACAACGCTAGCGGACTTGTTGAAGTCTCCGGGTAGGGCAAGACCTACGGAGTTGACCTTGGGAAGCTCCCGCTCGGCCTGGTCACAGATTTGGAGCGCAGTGGCAAGCTGATCGTCGAACTCGGGGCAGACACGATGAAAGCGAAGATATCTGAAGAAAGAGCGGGGCACTTGACAAGCGTTCTTGATGGCGTGCGAAGCATAGCCGTAGTGGGCAGGGTACCAAGATGATCTGTCATAGTCAACATCGCGTCAGGCAAGGTTGGGGTGGTAGGCTTACAGGAAAGCTTTGCAGATAGCTACAAAGTCAACAACCCACCGCTTCTCATCGGACCGGTCCCAGGGTACGTTGTGGATGGCGAGGGCCCTCGCAATCTCCTCAGCACCCATCTCCTTCATGTCATGCTTGGAGATCCCTTGGTACTGGCGAGGACCGGACTCTACTCCACCAAAGCGCATGAGCTTGTTGAAGACATGTGCGTACATCTCATGCATGCGACGCTTTTGCTTGAAGCGCTGGATGGCAATCTCGATGCGCTCAACGAACGACTTATCTGGAGCGTACATTTCCTCTTCCTCGGCGGCTTCGTCAGGAGTGAGAGTAGGCTCCATGTACGCCTTTTCAAATCCGGTAGCCTTCAGCATGTTCTTGGACACTCCTTCAGGGTGCTTGATCTTGGCCTGAGGGAGTAGTGGTACTGGGTACTGGGCGGGCTGCTGAGCTTTGGCCTTCCGTGATCCTGGGGCATAGGCGATGTCGTTATCGTCGTCGGCATCGAAGTAATCTGGATCCAGAATGCACTTCCCGGTTAGAGGAACCTTGCGCTTGATGGTCTTTCCGTCAGCAGAAACTTCCAAGAAGGCGCTCAGTCGAAGAGCCGCAGAAACTAGGGACTTGGGCTTGTATTTTCGCATCTTTTGAAAACCACAGATGCGACTGACGGAGACGGGGATGTTCTCACGCCCGCCACAGCACTGTAACATGTGCTTGTCGGTAGGGAGATTTTCATCGGAAAAGTAGAACTCCACCTTGAAGAACGATTAGTTGATCTGAAAAACTTACCGCGAGACTGGGGACTGGGAAACGTACTTGACGACGGATCTCTGCCCCATCTGGGTGGTCCAGCACAGTGCTGGTGACTTGAGAAGTGGCAGTGATGTTGGTGGAGGCTCCATTGGGAGGTCCGACGTGCACAGAAGGTGCTGCAATTGCGGTTGCCATGGTTGCTACTCTCTGTATTGAGGTTTGGGGATATCAAGAGCGGACTAAAAGAGACTTGAGGTTATAGAGGGTGATGTAGAGAGGATTGGGCATGAGAAGTCGGCGCGCTAGTAAGGCAGCGGCAAACGATGCTTCGCGGGTGATTGCGTTGGCCCTGGGGGTGAGAGAGCGCGACTACCTCGTGTTGGTGGTCGCAGCTTCGCATTCTGGACATTTCGCTCATACAAACGCCTCATACGGTGAGTGCATCACCAGCGATTTGATGGATGCAGCACCACGGTGAGAAGTCGACTTGTTCATTGCGACGCATGCGACCTTTCTTCGGGCATGCGGCTACGAAACTTGAGTGAGATCATGTCTGCAATAAAATTTCATATTGTGCCCGGCAATAGAGTCGTGTAGAAGACATGCAAGTCATACACTCACACTCACGCTACTGGATGATACTCAGCACACGAATAATGAATTTGGTGATGACAGCATTGGCTGACTCGTGACGGAGGACCCTGAAACACCCGTGGGGCCAGCCCGCCATGTATCTTCCACCTAAACACTAACCACGAGTACAATCACACTGATATCCCGACCAAACCCTCCATACAGACCAAGAAACATGGCGTCCAAACAATATGACGCGTCGAAACTCGTAGCATATGGCAGTGCTGCTGCTGGCCAGTAAGTCTCCACTGGCTGCCTGTCAGCCTCGTGTACCAGACTAACACAACACCAGCGACGGCGTGCTCAGCGACCCATCCGGCGGCGTAGTAGTAAAACCATGCACCCTCGCTGAAATTGACTTCTACGAATCCCTCGCCGACCACCCAGACCTCGCGCGCCATCTCCCCACCTTCATGGGCCAGCTCTCCCTCTCAGCCGACCAGACCGCCGCTACCGAGTCCGTCGAAAGCGGCACCATACAGACAGCCGACGGCACAATTGAGCGCCTACATGGCAAGAAGCTCGCGACCGATCTTCACATAGTACTAGAGAACATTACACACGGCTTCAAGAAGCCGAATGTTCTGGATCTGAAGCTTGGCGCGCAGTTGTGGGACGAGGCTGCGAAGCCGGAAAAGAGAGCGCGGCTAGATGCTGTGAGCAAAGAGACTACAAGCGGCAGCCTGGGTTTCCGGATAGCAGGCATGCGCACATACAAGGGAGCTGAGGTACCTGAGGTTCCGGAAGATCTCAAGGAGTATGTTGAGACGGATCGGGAGGGCGGCTATTGGGTGTACAACAAGATGTATGGACGCAAATTTAGTGCCGAAGATGTTAGTGAGGGTTTCACAGACTACATTTTCCCCGGCGCCAAGTCAGAAGCGGAGCTTGATCGGGCGAGGGAGGTGCTCGCTTACTTTTTGGGCGAGGTGAAGGACATTCAAGAAGTCTTCGAAAGCAAAGAGAGCAGGATGTACAGCGCAAGCATACTATTGGTCTATGAGGGCGATGTAGACGAGTATGCGAACACCAAGCAGAAGCTACGTTCTGCGCATCCCGAAGACGAGGATGAGGAGGATGAGGAGACTGTGCCCAAGCTGGCCGAAGTCAAGATGATTGACTTTGCACATGCGACGTGGACACCAGGGCAAGGGCCGGACGAGAACGCGCTGCAGGGTATGAGGAGCACGGCAAAGATATTGAAGGAATTGTTGGACAAGGCGCAACACGACTAGTTCTTGTTTTGGGAGCCTAGAATCTAGACGATGTATACCCAGAAGCACAGCTTGATACTATTACCCAGTCTAACTATTCCCTAGTAGTGTGTCATCCCAGTTTCCGACCCCTCCCATCAGTGACTCAAAAAATGCTGCGTCTACACCTTGAAGCGCCCAATCGTCCGTTCCGGCAGCCCAACCTGGATAATATTGCGACGTGTCGAAAATATCATCAGAAAGTGCTAGTGGTGGCTGTATCGACTGAGGGTGCTGCGTGCCAGAGTCCGGTACCAGCAGAGTGGATGCCGGATTGCCGTTAACATCCTGACCGAAGGAAGCCATGTTGTCATCGACACCCACTGGGTTCGAAGAAGAGGGCACATCAAGCATTGCCGCAGTAGAAGTCTGGGAACCTGGCCATTGCTTTGTGATGCCGTTCGCACCAATCTTGATGATCCCAAAATATGGAATCGAGAGCTGAAACTGTTCGCCGCAGCCCTCTTCAAGCCGAGTGACCGTGCTCTCGCTGCTGTGACTGAATCCACGCGCGGCGTCACTTTCAATCAGCAGCAAGTTGCGAAGTTGCTCAGCGCTCTTGCCCGTGAGGGGATCGTTCGTCTGTGTCTCGACGAGTTCCAGCTTTTCGACAAGTTGCTCCACCATCGCGCGATCACCGGGTCGCTGGTGAACTAGAAAACTTTGATCCTTCCAGCGCCTGCTGTCTATGTGCGCGATCAGTATTGTCATGCCCGCCATTAGCGCAAAGAAGTCGGCTGTATGGCACGATTGGGTAGAGATGGGCCGGAAATTGTGAAATGCGACGAATCTTGTGAGGATCTCTCTGGCCGCGTTGATGCAGGTGATCTTGGCGTACATGTGGAAGTCAGATCCTGTGGCGCAGCGTATGAGAAACGGCAGATGGAGAAGATGAAGCAGATTGTACTGGTAGATCTGACTTCGAAGTCGCATTAGTTCCTCAAAAGTCTCTCTTGCATTTGGTTGGAGACCAGTGAAACTGGGCGCGAGCCAGTACTTGTCTGGAACTGATGCCGCGACGTTCTGGAGGTCGCGGTCTATTTTACGGGTAGCTTCGATATTATGGTGTGGGTCTCCTCGGTTGCGGTCAACGATGCCACATGCAACGAGTGTATGTGCTCGGTCTATTCGACAGCTTATACTGGTCCCAGGAATGGAGTTCTCCACGCTCATCTTTTGGCCCCCATGAGGTAGACCAAGCATCAGGCTAAGATAGCTGTCCATATGAACAATCCGGAACCAAAGGAATTTAGGGTCCACCCTGTGCTTGCTCTCCAGATACTTGACAGGCGGAGGGTTAGATGTATCCAGTCTCATCAGCTGCGCAAACACCATGGCTCTTCTGAAAGCGATCCAAGCTCGCCGGAGGTTGCCGGCGTTGGATTGGAAGGTGGCTTCGTAAACGATGCACTCTAGTCCTTCGATGCAGCCTATCAGATGATCTTTGGTGACGACCAAACGAACAACTGTTTCCACCAAGCGATTGGCGAGGACGCCTGGATCCCCCGAGATGCAATCGCCCTTGTTACACCGAAAGTACTGTAGCATAAGGGCGAGGATGAGCATATGCCTAGCGATCAGAACCGGAGGTGTACGCGAATGGTCAGGAATTGTAGCCAGATCGTCGGCAATGCCCAATGATTCGTTTTGTGAGGGGTCGATGGATGTCGTGAGACATTGGTAGCTGTACAAGGTCGCGTTGCGATCGGTCTTGCACAAGAGCTCCAGATCTTGTTGCGGTGGATACGCTCGACGTAGGGCGGACGATGTGCTCTCGCCGTCTTCCGTTTGTAGAGGAGGTTGGTCCGGTGTCAGCGCGGCTGAGCTAGGTGTTGGAAGCTGCACATGGCTGATTGTTGCGTCGTCTCCTGGATTTTCCGATCGCGCAAGCAATGCTTCTGCCCTTTGCAAGCGTTGGAAAAGCTGCTCATATGGTATATCAGGAGGATTGGCTATATTGTTTGAGCCTCTAGTAGGATGCAGCAATGAAGCTTCTTGACTGCCATCGACGCCCTCAAGGAATTCCTCTTCCGGCTGAGTCTGGAGAACGCATGGCACCTTCCGACGGCGACATGCTACACATGTGGTGTCAGACGTCGCATCGAATGTGCATTTGACCTTTCGCTTCTTGCAATGCCAGCAGCTTGTTGTTCCTTTACGAAGTTTGCGCCGCTTGCTGTGAGGCTCGAAGTTGGTGGTGTCGGCGTCATTGACGGATGATCCCGGTGAGCCTTCCATGGCTGGTGACAGTAGCCTGAGTTGAGGGCACGGTACCTCCTCTCGAGCAAAGCGACCAAACGTGTGGCACGCTTGGATCTAGTGAATTTGTTGCTGGCATCGTATCATAAACAGATGCGATGATGGTGACATGGGGAGGAGTTAGTAACTTAGGGGCGAAAGGAAAAGAGTGAGGGCAATCACCGAGACCTCGGCGGAAGGTTCTCCGCCGAACACATCCTTCAGGCATCAGCAAGGCCACCAGCCAGCCACCACATCATGGAGTCGATGCGCAACGGACTTTCTTTGGTTCGGCCAGAAAGCGGCCGCGTTTGGATTACAGTTCTATGGTTCCTTCTGTCATTACAAGATTAGACAACACACATGCCTCAAGCGTGTCAAGCCGATGCATGTCCGAGTGTCGCCAAAAATGAAACTTCCCTCTAGGTACAATCTACGTATCTCAAGCACAACTCTAGCAATAGCGTCGCATTGGTCGCAAGTGCGGGCAATCTGTCGTGTAGCCCTACCCAGATATAGCGCGTGTGATCTACGCAGCTCCAGCCTGCACCTTTTCCATGTTCAGCTTCTTGAAGGGTACCAATACAGCAGCCACGGCAGCTGCACCAGCCAAAGCTGTCGCAATAGCGAGCGCGACCTTGATGCCCGCCATGTATGCGACCACTATGCCTGCTATGTCTTCTGCAGCGAAATTGTCCCGAAGCTGAGTCGCTCCGGATCCGACTACTGCCAGCGGATTCACGTTCGGTGCTGTGCTCGCAAGCGTGTTGATCATGCGATTGACAAATCCAGACTGAGCCGCAGTCAACGAGAATGCACCGCCGATGGTTTGAAAAACTGCGATGTGTTAGTTAAATCCACATAAAAAGAGCTGATTTGCATACAAAAGATCGTTGCCGTCGCTGAAGACATGTCCTCTGCCCTTGCATTGGCCTGACCAGTGTTGATGGCCATTTGAAAGCCCAGACCGACTGCGATGCCGTAAAAGGCCTGATAGCCAATCCATTTACCCAGCCCAGTACCAATGTCGAACGTATACATTAGACCGGTAGCGATAGTCGCTAGAAAGGCACCGCCAATCATGAAAGGTGCAGCATAACCTGTCTTTGAGACAACGCCGCCACTGACGATGCTACCCAACACCATCGCGAGGACCAGTGGAAGGTTCAACACACCCGAATTGATTGCGCTGCGGTTGTCGACGCTCTGAAAATAGAGGGGTAGGTAGTACAGCAGGACGAGATATGATGATGAGAAGAAGAAGATGAAGGCAGATGGCTGCCATAGTGTTCGCTCGCGGAGAAGCCGGGGTGGAAGCATCGAACGCTCGCCGTTGAAGATCTCCCATGTGATGAAGGTAATCGCAATAACGACGAAGCCTACCAAGAGGCCGATGACGTAGCTGCTGTTCCAAGGTCGCTTCTGGCCGCCATTTTCGAATGCTAAGATGTACGTAACGATGCCGCCCATGACGAGAGCAATGCCGAAAGGATCCATTTGCAAGAACTTTTCCTTCCAAGTCGCTTGGGTGATAACAGCTTGTGGTGGAGTCTTGTAAGTGAACAGGATCAGTGCTGCAGAGGCGCCGCCAATAGGAAGGTTGATGTAGAAGCTGTATCATGATTAGCATGTGAGCGGAACAGTCATGAGGAAACATGAACCTACCACCATCGCCAGCTCACTGTGTCTGCGAAGACTCCTCCCAAAAGCGGACCGACGACGCTAGAAAGGCCATATACAGCACCAACAATCCCCATTAGAGCTGGTCGCCGTTTAGGCTCTGCCGCGAACGCCGCCATAGTGAACGCCCCAGTTACTACGCCGGCGGAGCCGACACCAGCGATTGCGCGGCCAACGACGAAAGTTATAGAATCTGGAGCGACGGCGCAGATCAAGCTTCCCATTTCAAAGACGAAGATGGCACCTAGGAAGGACCACTTGAGTGGGAAGTAGCGGTAGAACTTGCCAGACATGGACTGGAAACCGCCGAACGTCATGAAATACGCGGAACCATACTAAGACATGTTAGTATTAAAGCACTCGAGTAGCCAGAGCGAGAGTGTAAAAGCTCACCCATGAAACCATGTTAAGACCTCCAAATTCGTCTGTGATCTTAGGAATGGCTGTTCCAAGAATTGTCATGTCCAGGGCTGTAAGAAAGACTGCGCAGAGTATGGCAATCAATATGGGCACCAGCAGTATGCCACTCGGATATTCTTCTTTGACATCATCGGGCTTCTCGTCTTGTTCAGATATGACATCTTCCTCGATGCCTTGGTTGTTCTGCTGCTGCGTCTTCTCATCAGCGATGTTTTTTGGTTTCATGACGCCACCAGCCGATTGTGCTGTTGCATCGAATGCGATCGAGGTGTGGAAGTTGTGTTCGTTCATGGTGTGCATCTGGAGTCGGTACTAAGGACGATGTTGGCGGGAGTGTTAATGGGACAATTTGCAGCGGTAAAGGAGAGTGGAAGAAGTGCTACACATATACTGATGTACGAACGAATGCATGATTCGGTTGTTCGAGCAAAGCTCCGATTTCTTTGGCTGAGTAAATGTTCGTCGGAGGGCGAATGGAGGGCGAGCGCTTGGCACATGCTTCCGCCGAAGGTTTCGGCGGAAGCGATCTGCAGCCTACATTAACATAGAAACACGCAAAACAAGTAGCCTAACGTTAACGTAGGCTCTAGACCTATTTAGTCTTCTTTTCTTTTGTATAAGGTGCTTGTGTAAGGCGGCCCTGCTAGTCGGATGCCGACGTCAGGAGCTTGTGAGGTCCCCCAACACGGCATGCGCAAAGAAGATCTTCTCATGGACGGCTTCCGACGTCCAATGTGCGTTGCTGTCCAAGGTTTGGTCTGTAATCGTGATGCACGCCCAAGAATCGTTCAACAGCGGAACTGAGTGGCGCGCACTGTTATCGCAGTAAGTAATCAGACACATGTTTTGTAAGAGAGGTAGTGCATTGCGGGTTGCTATTTGTGATTAGTCAGCGCTTCATTAAGATTCGGGATGCCACCTCTTCCTCTTCACACATCTACCCTTCCACGATACAATGTCGCCAGATCTCCGTTCAAAGATACTTCTTCCGCTTTACATTTACCCCCATCCGGGTGCATGGGATCCTCTCTATACAGCGTAGTGTTTCCTTCACCGCTAACACGAAGTCTCACTGACGTCTCTCAGCATCGCCGCGGCGCTGGATGTTCAGTTTCTGGTAATCGTCAATCCAAACAGCGGACCGGGTGCTGCACCGTGGTGGCCGAATGAGGACTATCTCCGGGAGATACCGCGGCTAAATGCATTGCCGAACGTCACCACCCTGGGCTACGTGCGTACAACCTATTGCAAACGGCCTGTTCAAGACATCCTTGATGATATCGAATCGTATGATAGAAGAGGTCGAGAGAACAGTGGGTATAGAGTGGACGGCATCTTCCTTGATGAAACAGTGAATTTGTACTCGGAGGAAGTCAAGAGCTACCTCGACACCGTTGATCGCAGAGCGCATGTCCTTGCTGGCGTCGCGGAGGAGAGAATGGCAAGTCTTCATTTATCCATGCTGGACGGATGAGAGTTACCCAAGCTGACTAGGCCAAGATCATTCATAATCCTGGCACAGCAGTCAGTACTGAGCTTGCGACTCCGGGACCAGAGGTCACAGTAGTCGTGGAAACAGCCTACAAGGAGTTCGTGACCGAAGAGTACCAAGAGTGGCTTGCTACTTCGCCGTACGAACGGTCTCGTACTGCGTATATGATACATTCAGTTCCGCAAAAAGATATCGAACCGTTGACAAGAGCGCTGCGTGAACGGGCCGCGTACTTGTTTGTGACCAGTGCGTCTTGCGACTTCTACGGGCAGTTTGCCGAAAGCTGGCCTAAATTTGTCGCCTCGCTAGCACGGCCCTGAACGCAAAGGCCGTCAAATTTCTTGAGCGTTGGTTGCGATGGTCGGTGGCCGTGTTGCAAGAGGTCGCAGAAGGTGCACATCTATGCAAACCTTTCTCCATGAGCAGGCGTCGTTTCCTTGGACTGATTGACGGTCAGGAGCCGCTTGATGTCGCGATTGCTTGGGTTTCAGACAGTCTTATGACTACGCCTTTGAACCTAGTCCGCTAGTTCTCCGACCTTTCTCTTTCTTGCTCTCCTAAGGCTTCCTCGATAGTAGCCCATATCCTACACCTGTTCCAAAGTCCGTCAGGCACGTCAAGTAGACGCTCGTCACATCCACTGACCCGAAAGCGTTTCTTCGCAAGAAGCTTCGCGGCAAACTTCCAGTCCCAGCGAGCAGTAGGGTCCAGAAGTGCTGCATGTGGAGTAGTAAGATGCTGCTCGATCCACTTGGTGTCCAGATCCCAAACATGCGGATGTAGACTTCCGTCCCGGAGGCTGTCTCGCCAGAAAGCGGAATCGAGTGGTATCTGCAGAGCCAGCATCTTTGAGGTACAATGTAGTGCTATGACAGACTGTATTGGAAGGTAGCTGCACACCACATCCAATAATTCCGTCGGCAGGCGCTCCAATCTTTGGGGTTCGCGCGTTGCTTTTGGCGTACACTTGGATTCGTCTCTACGACGCGGCGAAGTCTGCAATACTTTATGTACGAAAGAGGCGATATCTCCCACTTCGATGGGATCGGTGTAGAACTTCTGTGAATCATTAATGGCGAGCTTGGAGAACATGTTGTGGTTACCTACATCATACTTTGCGCCCCACCATTCTAGCCTGCTCAGAGCCAATGCGCTCCTAGGTCCATAATCGCATGAAGAAGAACAAAGATCGAAAATGTCGTTTGATGTCTCGAGTGGCTCGTCTATACGGCATTTTCGTCGAATGAAACGCGCACTCAACAGTCGATACAGCAGTTTAAGAGCAGATGTCGGCACAGTATCCTTCCTTCTGGAGTCGAAGTGGTCGATGGCTCGACAACTGATCGCAATACACGATTCATGTAACGGAAACAAGGTTCGGTAATCCGGTGCATAACACAAAGCGTCGAGCCAGATATCATCTTGGCCAGCGTCGCCAACAATTCGAAAATAGCCCGATCCAGCCATGTTGAAGGACGCAATCTCGGAGAGGAAGATGCCTGGTATCTCAGATACGTTGGTCGGCCTTGTCCGGACTTTAGCGCGTGAAGATAGATGAGAGCCGCTTCTTACGTCGATCCTTCGCTAGCTACCGTATGTTCAGCTACATCTTCGATGCTACCAAGAAGACGAAGGCTGTATAACCACTAGAATGCGCGAAATGTCAGCAGTCTATAACGCTTGTTTGAGAACAGATAGTTTACCTGGAACCGCATGTCTTTTGGGTCAATATTGTAAACATCGCCTTCGACATCGAAAGGACCACCACATATAACGCAGAATCTTGAATCCTCCATGGCGCATCGCGCATCGCTCTTCCAGTCATCCGCGACCTTCGAGGAAAGTAGACTACCCATGTTGATACTGCGCGATGAGATAGCAGCTGGCAGAGAACCAGCGGTGACGGCGGTTGTTGATCCGCAAGATGAGAACGCCCCGTCCCGTCCACCTAATTCAGTCTGACAGGAGGCGCATCCGCATCAAACGCAATATCCAGATGAACAAATGTCGGCAAGACGATTGTGAGACGCCAAACTGAGTGAGCGTCGCTGGATAGGCTGATTGCGGTAAATCGATGACGGTAGTTCATTCCACCGTAACCCAACTAGGTATAGCGTTTCCACAACTTCTGAACCGGGCTGCGACAGCTGAGTATTGGTGATTTTATCCTACAAATAGCGTCGCATTTGTCATATCTGCCAGCATGTTGATGCATGCGATTGGACTAGTTTCACAATGAGGACATGTATAGTTACAAAATATGTCGTGTGCACGGAATTCCGCACATTTCGCAACAAGCGCATCATTTGTAGCGGAACACCGATCGTCATGCGATATCTGATTATGCCTTACAAAGTCTCTACAAGATCTTCCCACTCGGCATCCAACATGTACCCGTGTCCAAAGTCTTCTTCACTAGATGATGAGTAAACCAAGTCTGGATCGCCTTCTGATGCTAGGTAAGTGCTGACCCCTGTCAACTCACGCAACCACCGATCGATTCTTGGTTGTGAGTTGTCTGCTTCAGAACAGGGTCTCTCGCCTGGCTTCAGTACATATGCGTGTCCCTCCCAATGTATACGAGGCATTTCACTGCTTGGACGCCAGCCATGAAATGTGGTTTTGATGGGCCCAGATGCCTCTGCAGCACTCCCAACTTTGATGTTAATCCGGTCATCTTCATCGAGACCGTTCACACTCGACCAATCGCTCATGTTCGATTGATCGTTTGAATTAGACTGAGCGACCATGCCCGGTTGATCATCCGAACCAAACTGATTACCAACGCCCGGTTGGTCGACCGAATCAGACTGATTGTCCATGCTCGATCGATCGTCCGTATCAGACTCACTGTCCATGTACGACTCGTCGTCGGTACCAGTTGGGACTCCCATGTCTATTTCATTTTCCATAGTTGCTTGATAGTCCTCCATATACGAGTAAAACTCCATCTTCATTAGGCCCCTGAAACCTTCGTCGTGAATGGCGATGACCAAAGCTTTCAGCTCAGGTAGGGCCTGCCTTTGAGATGATACCAAATCGTGAAGTTGATGGCTATCAGGCGTCGTTTCGCGATGGGTGGGATGGAGTGACAAAAACTCCAAGACTGGAGGTAGCCGCCAGCACCAACGATCTTGCTCCAATATCTTGCACTCGTAGTTTATGTTCATACCGGGCTGATACTTGTGCAAGATGGCCCCAACGTCCAACATCCTCCACACGTCCACATTTGTATCCAGTCGCCTCAAGGCAGTGAAGTGTCTTAGCGATTCGATTAGATGGCTGGAGTCACTATCTTCTTCTTGCGGAGTCATCCAACTGGGTACGATGTCCAGATACAAGTCTTCCAGAGTGTTTTTGAATGAGTCAAGCATGGTGATAAGCTCGCTCGCTGTCAAGTTGTAAGGGCCCATAGCTAATCCGTATGAAAAGTATAGCCGCTTTAAACGAGGGGACGCTGAGAGGAGCTTTTGCATCTCCACGCACGTGAAAGCGCAATTCGGAAGATGAAGAGCAGTGAGCGCCCCGAGACCAAGAGGTAGAGCAATTGGCGGCGATTCAAGGAGGTCTCCTCCAGATTGATACCAACAGCTCCCTCTGGCCAACTCTAGGGTTTGGAGCGAAGTGTTGTCCATTATCTGGTTCAAAAAGGACGCAGACCATGGTATAGCCCTATCATTGGCGGCGGTAAGCCTGACTAGCTTTTTGAATCCATGCTTAGGCAAACGCCAAGGTAGTATGATTTGGTCTGGGTTCATGAGAACGGTGTGCAGCTCAAGTACTCGAAGATTTGGGAGAA